GACAGGTTCAGGAAATTGGTAGGTAGCGTTGGTTGATTAATGAATAAGGTATGAGTTGACTGCTTTGTATAGAATGAGAAGAGGTGGGAATCCTATGATGAGGACCTGGGAATTACTGGTTACCTGGTGAAGAATGCTTAGAGCTTTGCCAGTTTAAGATGGTTCTGCAGAGAAACGCCAGTAGAGCAGGTATAGATACGGATGCAGATCAACATTTGGCTCACCAACTTACGTAGGCTGGTAAGTCCAAAATCTGAAGAGTGGATGTCTCAGGCTTTCATTTGATTGGATGAGGCTCACCTATACTCTGAATCACCATCTGTTATATTCATCCTACCTATTAAATGTTAATCTCAATCCAAAACACCTTCACTAAAAAACTTAATGTAATATTTGACCAAATATCTGGGTACCCTGTGGTCCAGTGAGGTTGATACACAAATTAACCATTGGAGCCAGGAAAATTAAGTTGAACATTGTTTCTTTTTGGCATAATTTTATTTGGCAATTGTACATATACCTTTACCATTTAGAGGTTCTCAGACATTGGCTGATGTATTAAGTGAAAAATCTGGGCTTCTTATTTAATGCTTACAGTTTTCAATACAAGGCTATCGACTATTCTGATGTGAGTTTTCTCTCCATTAAATCATAACAAGCTATGTGGCCTTTAAATGCTACAGACAAAGTTATTCAGTGTAAATCAGACTATATGTTAAAATTATTTTGGGGGGACCCTACTTGTTATGACATTAGTATTTTGCCCTCTGCCACTGCCTTTTTAGAAGCTATTTAAAAAATAGGGTAATGTAAAAACTAAAACTTGGAGGCTGGTATCAGTCGAATTGACAGGTCATGTATCATTTAATGTTAAATCTAAGTACTTTATAATTTATTCTCAGGTCTATGTTCAGGGGTAGAACAAAGATTAGATTTTTGTATTAAAGTTTGTATAATTCTGGAATGTAAAATGATTTTGTGATAAGCCTCAATATTTTTAGTTCAACCTCTGACATTTTCTAAGAAGTGCTTTATTAATGGAACAGAGATTCACAATTCTAAAGGCGTCTATGTTTTTTATTTCTTTAACCTCAAAGTAGTTGTTAAGTGCTTTGCTTTCTTTGAGAAAATCATCAGTATTAATCATAAGTTTGGAAAGAATTTTGTGCTTTATGAAAAAATTATTTTTAAATATTTTGTATGCCTTTCCTCTTCTCACTGAGTTTTGGGATACTAGAAGAACCCTGGGATTGAGGAGGTTCAATTAATTTATTGGAGCCCTGCTCCTGTAGTTCTATTTTTTTCTATTCTGAACTTCCAAGTCCATGGTACAGGTACAGTCATTACTGTTTTTTTCTTTTTTTTGAGATGATCTTAATTACCATCCACAATGAAGATTGATAATGCAGCATGCTTTTGAAATTGTCAATGGCAATCACGTAAAATTCTTCAGCCTAGATCCTAGTGGATAAACTGAACAATGAGAACGAGTAGGCATTTGTTTGAAAGAAATTCAGAAATGCAAATATAGCTGTATTACACAAAACTTGTATTCCATTGTCACATATGATTATGGCATGTTTGCTAAAACTTGGAAATTTGAAACAAAGTCTTAGTGGGATGCAGTTGATATGGATTGTTTACCAAACCTTGAAATATTAAGACCATAAAGAAGAGATTAATTTGAAGTCAGAAATTGATGATATTTTGAATAGATAGAAGTTATTCAATTTATGTTCTTGATGTATGTGCCCATAACAGCATAATTGTGTCATCGACTAGGTGTTTCCTAGTACCAGGCACCAGAAAGAATTTTACACATTAACTAATCATTACTAAAATCTCAAAATGTAGTCTTTTACACACATCTTCCAACTTCCTCTTACACATGCCTATTTTTAAAATGACAATATTTTATTCTACAGAAAGATGAATCTGAAAATTGTTATGCTAGTTGGAAAATTCAGTAATAGCAGCTGTCACTTCTTAATTTTGAGCAGACAATGCCTATCACAATGAAGTCATCAGTAAATGAAAAGACTCTTCAAGTCCATCTCCTTGCCCTTGATTGTCCTTTTACAGATATGTGCTTCAGAATAATCTTTTTAAAAAGTAAAATCCTTAAAGAAAATTTGACTGCATAGAAATCATTCTATGGTCTCTTCTCATTTCACACATGTAAAGAGCTGCTAAAATATCAATATGCTACTTTGAGCATCTGTTCAGATATAGAATTGAAATTGTATAAAACTTTAAAAATTGTATTTCCCTCAATTTAACAAATACTGAATGCCTGTCAGGTTTCTTATATCCATAGTTATTAAATATGTTACCTTATTTAATATCACCTTTATAAAGGTGAGAGATTGCTTAATTGTAAAACCAGTGAGACATGCAGGTAAGAGTAGTGTTTGTGTGGGTTTGGATTTTTGAAATAGTTGTATGTCAGAAATATCAAAGTTTCTGTGTAATGGGGAACTGAACACAACTCTTTTCTCAGTGAACTCACCATCTTCACCATCCTCCAATTGCCACACAGAAGATTAAAGAAAAATGCAAAAATAGTCTCAAATATTCCATTACAGATGATTAGCTATAGTAGGATATGTACATACCCTATATATAAACACACACAAATAGTATATATACAGATACATGCACACATATATGGAATCATTTATATAGATCTACCTGTCTATACCTATAGATACAGTATCATCTATGTAGTGTCATATATATAATATATGATACATATGCGGTGTGTTAGTAAATCTATGTAAAAGGATACAATCTTCGTTATTGTATCTTTTAAGATTGAAAGTTATTTAATAACTTTCATACAAAACTTTAACATGAAATATATACTGTATAGTTATAAACAGGTAGAGCTCTCTAGATAGTATCATTAATATATGGTATATCATAGATTGTTACTATTTATATCTATATAGCATATATGATACAAATGATATGTATGACACTATATATAAAGTATAAATGTGGTATTATATATATGAAACCATATTTATATAGGTTCTATATATGACACACTTTTTACAATCCTGACATCATAAAAAATCAGTGCAGTACCTAAGCAGAGGTTTTTAATCTGGCTGTATATCAGAATCACTTTTGGAACTTTACAAATATATAGGCTATTATCTTGTTTGATAGGCACTATGCATAGATATTTGAAAATATAAAAGGAAAACAAAAATATTTATGTTGATTGTGATGTGCAACCAGTTGATAACCATTGAATTAGAAATTGATAAAGATTTGGTATGTGGTCTAATCTTTGAATGACTGTAGACAGATGGAGAATTTATCATTAGGGAGGACATATTGATTGGATCCATAGACATTGTAAGAAATTGGCCTGTCAGACCACTATAGATTGCAAATAGCTGGGAATTAGGAGTGATTAGCTGACAATGTAGAAACCAAGAAAATAGCAGATCCTCCGTATTTCTTATGACGTTACTTATGAATCTAGAATCTACATCCTTATGTTTTGCTCACTTACGAGAGGTGAACTTTAATGTCTACTGCTATTAATATAGTTTCATATAATTTTTCTTAAATTTCTTAACTTTTATTTTTAGGAAAGGGTACTTTTTAAATCAGTTTCAAACTTAAAAGATCCAGAAATAACACAAATAGCTTCCCTATCTTTTACCTACCTAGATTCACTACTTAACCAGCTATTTACATTTTGTCTCGTTTACTTTATCATTTCTGTTCATGTACTCCCCTCCCACCTTTTCAGTCACACTTTCTTCTCTGTCTCCTCCTTCATCTCTTCACCTGTAGCACTGTGAACTACTTAATGAGGTGGTGGTTAAACCACCAAATTTATAGTAATTGTTGTATAGCGATCTAATAAAAACAGTAAAATTCTACATAATCCATAGGTGAAATAAGAAACCACAATAGAAATTAGAGGTTTCTAATGATACGATTCTAAATGAAAGCAAATAAAAAATGACATCTTTTAAACTAAATGTGAAGTAATTTAAATTGAGTGAAAATATCACAATGTTTGAGATACAGCTAAAACTGTTACTAGAGGAAAATTTAGAGACTTAAATGTAAATAGTAGAAAAAAGGAAGAGAGTCAGTAACTTAAACATTTTTAAAAAGAAAAGCAGCAAACAAAACTGAAAGATAGTGGAAGGAAGAAAATACTGAAGAATTTTAAGACAGGAATATGGGGATTAATAAAAAGTCTCAGACTTCAGCTCATGGTTGAACTTCATGTCATGAAAACAAGAGGTCACCTTACCTTGAATCAGGGTACCTTCTGATTTGCCTGCTGTAGAACAGGACTTAATATCTTTCGGGAGAATGTATCCAGGGTTTCCAGAGGTGACTCTCACTGTGTCACATAGTTCATAAATTTTAAATTGGACCATCTCAGTTCTTGCAGATGTGAAGAAAATTATTTCAGCTGTTTTTACTTGTTATTACTGTAGTCAGAACAGGAAGTTAATTTTATTGAATTGAAAATCTAGAGGAATGCCAAGGAACATGACGTACTTAACCAGGTACTATACAACAATTACTACAAATCTGGATGGCATGGTAAGTCTGTGCATAGATAACCTGTAGCCTAAAGAGTCAATCTGTTAGAGAAGAAGGAATTTGTTAGGTTCTGGGAAACTTGTTATAAACATGGAAAGATTGAATTGTTGAACTTGAAATGGTAGTCACGTCTAATTACTCCCTACTGAATGTATCCTAAAATATCTATTTCTGTTAGTTCCACAATGGCTCCTTCTTCACCCACAAAGTGTTTAATGGATAGATTTATGGACCTGGGTAGTACACTGAATCAAGGCCATCTTAGTGTGGACACAGATTAATCTACTTGGGCTGAAGTCAGAACCTTCCTATTTTTGGTCAACAGCTAAGAACATCAGTTAAGTTTAGGTTTCAGCATCCTAGGGCCTTGTTATATGTTTTGTTTGAAACCTATTTTTTTTTTTTTTTAATTTCAGAGAGAATTTCCCAAGAGATTTGTGTAGTTACAGATACAGAGGAAGATAACAAACATGTAAGTCATCTTCTTGAAGAAGTGCTAAAAAGTGAATTAAATGTAAGTATTCAAAGACTGAGTTTGATAAACTTTGATTGCCACTAACTTTTATAGTGTAAATATATCTTTCTCAAAAAACCATAAAAATCTTTTAATCGTAATGTTCTTGTTATTTTGCCTCGATGATTTTCTTTGGTCTCCCAGCACTTACTATCTAAAACATACTCCATACCTCTTTTCATTCCTGTCATGGATTTTCTTCCAATCTCCATGTCCTTTAGGAAGCCTTGCCTGATGCCTGCACTCCCCAGTGTAAGGCTGAGACTTGTCTTAAGAGGCATAGTGGCCAGCACATGCTAGATGCTTAGTAAAGTTTATAGACTCTATGAAGACTAGAGATAGATTAAGAAGAGGAAAGGAGAAAAAGAGAGACATGATGATGAAAGGTGAGATAATCATGATATTGAAAAAGTGAATGAATGTGAAGTGACCAACTTCCTAGTTAAATTCATGTCTAATATTGGGACTAGTAAAATATAAGATGCAATAAGTGTGAGGATATCTGTAGGAACTATATTTTACCACTAAGCTCTACCATTAGTCATTTTTATGACAACTTTCAAGTATTTGGTTTGCCAAACTTATTTTTGTATATTTTAAATAATTGCCCTGCTTTCATTATAAAATGTATAACTTCTAATCAGAGTTTGTGAGCAACATGTGACTTTTTTTTTTTTTTTTTTTTGACCGAGCCTTGCTCTGTTGACAGGCTGGAGTGCAGTTGTGCTGACCTTGGCTCACTGCAACCTTCAACTCCCTGGTTCAAGTGATTGTCCTACCTCAGCCTCCCGAGTAGCTAGGATTACAGGCACGACAGCCATACCCAGATAATTTTTGTATTTTTAGTAGAGGCGAGCTTTTGCCATGTTGGCCAGGCTGGTCTTGTTTTCTGACCTTGTGATCTGCCTGCCTCAACCTCCCAAAGTGCTGGGAATTACAGGCATGAGTCACTGCAGCTGGCATGATGACCTTTTAATAACATACATAATTCTCATCAAGAGCAGAGGGTAAAAGTTCATTTTAGCTATGTAACTTTTTTTTGGGGGGTGGGGAGAAAGTCTCACTGTGTCACTAGGCTGGAGTGCAGTGGAATGACCTCGGCTCACTGCAGCCTTCGCCTCCTGGTTCAAGCAATTCTCCTGCCTCAGCCACCTAAGTAGCTTGGTCTACAGGTGAGCACCACCACGCCTATTAGCTGTGTCATTTTCTCATGCTAGCACAGTTGGAAAGAAAACAGGCTTTGATATCAGACTGCTTGCACTTTGGATGTCAGCTCTGTTTCCTAATTACCTTATCTGTAAATTGAAACTGTTAATAATAACTATATTATAAAGTTGCTGGGAGAATTGAATAACATGAATATATTTAAAGTGCTTAGAGAAGCATCTGGCATGCAGTAAGTTTTCAATGAATATGAACTATAATAAAACTTTCAATGATAAGTTGACAGAGTGGTGTGACAGTATTACATAGCACAGACTGCTAGTTCCCACACTTCAGTGCTGAACTGAATACATGAGTTGTTAAAATTAACAAATTAGCCAGTGTCTTCTATGTCCTCTTCTCTGAAGAATCTAACTTGAATTAGTATGCTTTAACTTAATTTATAGCTGAAAGATAACAGGGAACTTTTTTACTGTATATATTCTTAAATTCTTGTCATTACTATACTTTCTCCCTCAAACCATTGTTTATTCTTAGTTGTATAAGTAAATATACACGTAATAGCCACCACAAATCCTTAGGATGATAGCTTAATCATTTTGGTTTTCTGGAACTAATCCTCCAATAGATGCTCTTGTGAGGGCTCACGGGCACAGTATTCCCAAGTTCTTCCATGTGAATAAAATTATTCTTTCGCTCAACACCTTCAAGGTGGTTTTGGCTAGATTAAAAACCATCTTGATTCAACAGTTTTTTGTTGCACATCTTTGATATGCTAACCTGTTTTGTCATGAAGTATTTTGGTCAACTGTGATGAACATCTGACTTTCTTCATCTTATAAGTGACTTAGTTTCTTTCCCTGGATGCCCAAATAATTCTTTTCCTTTAAAGTCCTTTTGTTTGACTATAATTTTCTTAATTATGGTCCTTTGGGATGATACTGCTAGGTACATAGTGGATTCTTCTGGGTAGTTCTAAATCTTGTTATTTGGCATTATTTTCTTTAGTATTTTCTGTTCTGTTACTTTACTTTTCTTCAGGGATTCCTGTTGGATGAAGCTTACATGTTATTTGGGCATCTATAGCTGTTACTTTCTCTTGAGTTTTTCTAATCTCTTAATTTCTTCTTTATTTTCTTACTTCCTGTCTTTTCCTTCTGTTGAGGCATTACCTTTTGTGTTTTTTTAATTTTAGTCTTCATTTCTGAAATATTTTTTTCTTCTCATCACCTTGTTTCCAAGTTACTCCAAGTCTGACTTTTCTGGTTCCTTTATTTTCTTAATTTCTATTAGCTTATTAAATAATGGGTTATTATCTTCATATATTTTATGACTAGTCTTTCTTAAGTGCTTGTGTTTCCTGCATGGACATTATTTTGCTCTTTATTCTTTCTTTGCTTTCCTTTTCTTTTCTGACACAGGGTCTTGCTCTGTCACCCAGGCTGGAGTGCACTGGCACTATCATGGCTGTCTGCAGCCTTGGCCTCCTGGGCTTAAGCAATCCTCCCACCTCATCTTCCTGAGTAGCTGAGACCACAGGCATGCACTGCCATGCCCAGCTATTTTCTTTTTTTGTGGAGACAGGAGTCTCCATTTATTGTGCAGGCTGGTCTCAAACTCCTGGCCTCAAGTGATCCTCTCACCTTGGCCCCCCTAAGGGAGGAAATACAAGGATGGCCACTGCACCTAGTCCTATTGTTGCTTTTAAAGTAGAAGAGTTTTATTTAGTTTAGGAGGAAGGGATGGGTCAAAATAATACTTCCGTGGCCCTCTTTTGCCTGCACTTTCTCTTTCCTTTATTCCTAGTACACCTCTCTTGGTCCATCTGGACTTCTCAGGCTGGTCCTTTAACATACCAGGGCACTTTTCTTTATTGGTTTTGAGTGTCCTCTGAGTCCAGACCCTCAGTTATCTCTCGCAGAGAACCTTCATGTGGTTCCTTTGTTTTCAACTTTGAATTAAAGCCTACAAAGGCTTCTCCTAGTTTCTGTTGCTAGTCCCGGAATGGAATAGCCTGCTAAAGTCTCCAGAAAGTACCTGATGATGATTCTCTTGTTTTCTGTCTTTTTTGGTTTACTTTCATTTTCTTCTACAGTTTCTTAAACTGTTTGTGTCTTTATGTGTGCTACCAATTTACCCTTGCCCACTGATACTTTTGTGTTTTTTTTTTTTTCCTTTGGTTGTTTTTAGACACTGCCTCACTCTGTTGCTCAGACTAGAGTGCAGTGCCATCATCTCAGCTCACTGCAACCTCTACCTCCCAGGTTCAAGCGATTCTTGTGCCTCAGCCTCCCAAATACTGGTTTTATAGTAGGTAATGTCTGTAGGTCTTTTGTTTTCATATCCTTCTTGCTTTTGTCTGTTTTTATGAAGGGTCTGCGGAGATTCAAATACTAAAATCACATTTCTAGCTTTCCAGAATCTTTTTCCCCTTGATACTTTGTGTGCTCTCCTGGGCATTTATAATTTTTAAAGAGCACTGAAATTTCTCTTTTAATTTCAAGTATTTAATTCATCTATGAATATAGATACAGCAAATTTGGAATTTTTAAAAATTAGATTTGACTTGAACTTACGGATTTCTTTCATATACTAGACAAATCTAAGAAGTATTCATATATTCAAAAGTAAGAAAATCACCATTCCTCAAAAACCTCTTAATTGTAATATCCTCCTTTTTGAAGATACTTTAGACTTTTTATTTATTTTTAATGAGCTAATGTAGAACTTTCTAAAACTGAACTTCGGATGTGCTGTTACTTTACTCAGAGAATCTTGGTTGACCTTGAAGGGAAATAGCATTTTTGCTAAGCCCTTCCTGGCATCTAAATTTGATTAAAAAGAATTAAAAGTTTTTAAAAACCTGTGATGCCACACAAACCTAAGAGAATGCTTCCCCTTAGAAATAGCCACAATACTAATTACAGAGTGCTAGGAGTAGTACTGAAATGAGTAGTTCCTTTGACCCCTTTGTGGGTCTCGCTAATAAGCTGGCGCATTTACTCAGCCCAGAGGTCTCAGCCCCTAATGGGATGGCCATGCAGGTGAGCAAATACAGGGGCCAGGACAAGTCGTTCTGGGTGCTGACAGTAATAGAACTTCTTGTGGTGCCACGGCAGCATGTAGGGAAGGTATCCGTGACCTCTGGAGTCCCAGATAACGTGTGTTACATTGTGCTCTTTCATCTTTGCTGTCTACTATTATGTGACCAGCTCCCAATATATCAACATGGATTCAGTGTCTCTCAAAGTGATCAAGCGGTTGTTGAAAAGAAAGACAAGGAAACATTTTTCCTTAAAGCTGGACCCAGGGGAGACACCACTAATGCTGCTCCGTGCGTGTCTGACATTCTCCTGAAAACCTGTTTTTTGTTAGGCTCTTTCAATAGGGGAGGGTGAATGAGGTTACACAAAGTTTCAGAGATAATTATACAAAAAGAAACATAAGCAAAAACTGTTGTCCAAAGATCACGATACGGTTTTGTAAAAGTGGAACAATGTAAAAGTTAGTTTCTGTGCTTCAGCATGAAAACTATAAACCTTAGCAAGAATACAGGTTAATTATAAACTTACAATTATCAGCAGGAAAAGCATTGGGCACACAGCTGCATAGAGAACAGGATCTGACACAGGACTATTGGCCTGACCACAAAACTGCAAGAAAGGGGAGACCCCATGTAGGCCTGGAGAAGCAGTGGGAGAAGCAAGTCTTTTACATCTTTATCTCAACCACAGAGGTTTTTCCTGACGACAGACACCCCTCATGCATCCATTTATAGACTCTCCAAAAGAGTTGCATTCCCTTATCAAGGCCATAATCAAGATGCCTTTCCTGGGAAAGGAATCTGAGTAATAAGACACTCTATTACATGTCTGTTTATAGGCAGCCTGCAACAAGAAGCTTATTAGGTACTATCATCTCTCTCTGGCCGTCAGGCTATGTGGTTTGTCTTTTACACAGAGTTCATGTTTTTGCAAAAGAGCATAGCAGGAGGAAAAGTCACAAGCTGCATTTTAACTCTTTACATTATTCTTCATTTTCTCAAATATAATCAATACAGTAAGTAACAAGCATAACAAAGCAGATAACTCATTTCGGGGAAACCAAATTCTAAGAGAATTTTCAGGTTAAAAATAAACAATTTCGTCTTGTTATTTCAGATGCTAGGGTTTTGCCAGTTCTTCCAGAAGCTTGGAATTGCTCAGTCACCACTGAGGGGTCCACAGTGTTCCCAAGCAGTTTAAGTGTTTAGCAACTCAGTGGAGTGTCAGGGTCATAGCTTTGCACCAGCCCTCTTGGTATCCGAGTTGCTGTTTGGCGTCTAGGAGGAATTAGGCTGCATGACTGAATTGAAGGGTGGTGGAGGTAGAGGATTTTACTGAGCAGTGGAAGTGGCTTTCAGTGGGATGGGGTGCTGGAAAGGGGATGGGGTGGAAAGGTGGTCTTCCCTTGCAGTTTGGCTGTCCCCTGCTGAACTCTTCTGTGAAGTACCAGCATCAAGCAATCCCTCTGAATTCAAACTGCTTATCTTTGATGGCTGCTGCTTCTCTTCTCTCCTCTGCCACTTCACTCTGCTGCTCTGCTGCCCCTCTGCCAGTATAGCCTGGGATTTTTATGGATACAGGATGGGAGGCAGGGTGGGCCAAAAAGCAACATTCGAGTGAACAAACAGGAATGCATGTTCTTTGTGTCACTGTACCAGGCTTGAGGGTGTGGCCCTCACCAGGGACTGCCTCCTCCTACCCTGTATTTCCCTGCCTCCTGTCTGTATCAGTACTATGCAATACTTTTCCCTTTAAAATAACCCTGTGATGTCCCCCTTTATTTTACATACAAATAGAAATAGGAAACCTTGGAGTTTGATTTGCCTAAGATCATGTAACTAGTGAATATAGATGTTAGTTGAGTCAAAGTGGTCTCTACTAATTAATAATCTAAGGAAAGGTGAGATATAAGACTGAGATTTTTAAGTTTGACAAGGGGCTGATACCTAATGTGTGAAAGACATCCCCTTGGGAAAGGATTTACCCAGTTTTGTATGTTTTTTCTCTTCCCTTATAAAGGTAAATTTATCTCATGACATTTTTCAGCTTAAAACTAACACAAAATGCAATGTATTCTAACATTTTTACCTCTCAAAGCTTTTATCCTACTTTGAAAAGAATGTGTAGAAGGATGAAGTCACCACTATTGAAATCCTGGCATCTGTAGGGCAGATCAGTGTGGGTGTGGAGCTGCTCAACACACAATGGGAGGATTGTTTTGTTAACATGAAAAGAAAAAATGTTTTCCTTTGAAATTAAGGGAAAAGATTGGGTATGTTTATTGTAATTATCTGTACTAGAATCTTGCAACATACCTTGCGGGTGAACCAAGTATCTAGCTTTAATGTAATGATACACACCAAATACCTGGAAGAGGTTGTTAAACAGTTAAATAAAGAGCTAACATGGGAAAGGCACCCTCTCCTCCTCCCCCCATACACTGGCCGTTTTCATTGATACTTAAAAGACAAGGTTTTGTTATCAGTCTTTTATTTTCCTCCTTCGTTTGCCTAAGCATTTTGAAGTGTTTCACAGACCTTACCAGATTTGGAGATAGAGGTCTCCAGAGATAGATCATAGTGGTAGACAGTTGCAAAGGGACCTCTCTCACTTATTCTCACTTCTCAGTAAATATCGGACAATACTTTATATTATACTAAAGATAGTAAGGAATTTATAAGTAGGAAGATATGGTTAGTCTTCTTTACCTTAATTATCTAATTTACCAAATAATAAATGCCTATCATGATATAGTCACTAGATACAGGGAATTGAACTGAGCAAGTATGATTTCCTAGTTCCAAGGAGTATATTGTCCAGTTGGGGGTTGAAAAGTAAACAAATGCAAATTAAAATGTCAAATTTTGATGAATATCCTCAGGAAAACCTAACTGTGCTTATTTATGTAAGACATCCAGGGAAAGTGACTTAGACTGGGAATGGAAGGCAGAAAGTGAAATCTCTTAGCAGAGGTGGTATTTAACTAAGCCTTTAAAGGTAATAAAGAATTACCTATTTAAAGAACAAACCAAAAGTAACAGTATGTGAAAGCCACATCAAGTGCTTCATTGGGGCACAGAAAGAAAGCCTCTGTGGTTGGAGAAGCAAATGGAGTGGAGGTGGGAGTAGCAGGAGACAAGGAAAGAGGTGGTGACAGACCCAGAGACAGCCTTGTAGGCTCTTTATGTTGAGCTTACCACTTCTATTACCATTGCTACTATTACCACTTACATAATGTTTTAAAAGGAAAATGTAGAAAAGACTCTATTTGGAAATGACATGATCCAGTTTACCTTTACAAGAAGATTATGCTGGCTGCTGACACTTAAAAGTACAGTTCCACAGAGGAAGACCTCTGCAGTATTTGTGTTCATACATCACATTACCTCGAAACACATAATAAGCATGTTCAACCCAGTATTCATTCCTGTAGTAAAAGAAATGGAACTCCAAAAGAATGCTGATCTATACTCTGAATAAACAGGGACTATAGGGGCTTTTCATGTATTTTTGTTATCCACTCCTTCTTGTTTCCTGGAGCACATAAGTTAATTATTGTTTTGAGTAATCACAAATGACAAGTAGGGTGTAACTGAAAATCATGTTTAAAGCATGCTTTGATTTTGTTGAGACTGTTCTGTGATACTTAGTTCTTTTTTTTTTTTTTTTTTCTCTTATGCCCTCAAAGTTGTGTCCAGTGTGTGGATCTATGCCTTTTGTTATAGAACTTGGTAAATTCACTGTATGACATATTAGTCAAACAAAACATCAAAAATAGCACATGCAATAAAGAAAAGCAGAGAGAAGATAAACGGAGCAAATTAAGCCACAGCAGCATCCTAAGAACTATCCAAAACAGTTATTTTATGCTTATTGTCATATGTATTATATTTTAGTCTGAATACACAGGCTTTTTGGTTTTTGCATCTGAATACTGTATAGTTAATAACAATGAAATAACACTGGAAAGCTGCTTTTTTCTCCTGGACTTCTGACTCTGAACAGTGCCACATTAATGTGGTGCATGCATTTGTATACAAGAATACAGAAACTAACCAAAAACCATCTCATTAAATCCATTTGGTTTATTTGGTATGGTAGCCAGATTTCCTGAGCAATTCTCCAGAGGTAGAAAGAAAGTCCAAAATGATGGACCACCTAGTTGCATATGATGGTATGAATTATATTTGTGTTGTATTTAATAAAATTAATAATTTATATTAATAATGGATTGTCATGGTTTTAAAAGGTTAATTGAGGGAGCTAGGATAATTTGCTTGAAATATTATTTTCTCTATTTTTTTATTTGTGTATTTCACATATCTTTTTCATCATTTATATTCTTGAAATACAGGAACCTGTTGAAATATTAGTCTCCCAAAAGGAATCAGGTGGTTAATCTGTAAAAAATGGTCTTTTGCACCTTGTCCACTTAGAAATGAGGTCGTTGCTTATAAGTTCTGGACAACCATTATACTAAGCTTAAGAAGTAAAAATAAAAACAGAAACGAGCCACCATCAAATTTGGGTCATGTATTCGTAAAGTCAAGTCTTACCCTTTAACTCAGGAAAATTTTTAATTTTATGCAGTAAATATGTTTAGAAGGAAAATCCATAAAAAGGTGACAACGTTGTTTTGTATGTAGATTATAGTTAACCTTCAACAATTGATTTTGAAGAATGCTGTATATTAACTTGCTTAGGTTTAAATTGAGATGTAGTTTCAGAACTCAGTGATGTCATTTTATTGATTTTTTTGACTCGAATGATAGGTTACATGATGTTTGCAAAGCATCATTTTATGCTTATGTTATTCCTAATAATTGAGTTTGGAAATGGATTTTATGTCAAGTATTTGCATACAGTATAGTTTTACTTTACAGTACCATGAAATAGATTATTCTGTTGTTCTAGTAGATTTAGTTAAACAATGGTTCCAAGGTTTTGGTGGTTCTGGGACAACTGAATTAAATACACTACTTTGAGCTTATAACCACAGAAAATTATTCATGTTATCTTGTTACCTGAAAACTTTTTTTCCAAGGCCTACAACTAAGTACTTGGGTTTAAAAAAGTCTTTATCCTTCTCTCTTACATTGGGCACTATATACCTGAAAGGACTATTTAGTATATGAGAGTAAAAGCAAGTCTCTACCCCTTGATTTGTGATTTAAGATCTTCTGCAATCTACAGTGAACTTTTTTGTCACAATGCTATTGCTCTTCTGGCTCAACATGTCTTCAAACAATGTAGTCTTCTACCTCTTACGCACTTATTTTACCGGATTGCCTGCCTTCTCTATTTAAATAGTCAATTTTATGTTTTAAGCCTTAGTTGATGACTCTTTCCATGAAGTTGTTCCCAATCTTTTTTTTCTTATAGTTGTTGGATCTCTTAAATTATTCACTAGTAGTTTTATCAGTCTGCATATCCTGGTTATTATCTGTTTGCACATCTGTTTTACCATCTCTTGTCATGGATCCCTCACACAGTGCTGTGGAGATAGAAGGAGCCAGATAAATAGTTGTGGCTAAAAATGAGCACATGATGAACCAGCAAGCTTCTGGAGTACTTCTCTACCTGGCCAATAGCCAAATATATTGCTGGAGATAAAGAGGTAGCCTCTGGGCATCCATCAATCATGTTAACAGTTGAGAAGAGTTTAAAACATCAAGTATACTCAAGACGTTTGAACTGATTTTCTAACCAGAAGAAAAACCTAAGTTCATAAAAGGAGGAAAGAATAGGTGCTGGCAACAGATGTTGCAGAGATTAGATGAAGTGGAGTTAGCAACAGTGATGAAATTGGTGGTGATCAGCCTTCTGTCAGGAAAGATAGTGTTAGGCAAATGAACTCTGCAGAAGGGACTTTCTAGTGGAGTGAAGAAGATAACCAGTAAGCAATATTTTAAAATCGTATTCTGTAGAATCTGCAGTAAGATTCTACATTGATATTTTAATCTGTTTTTTCTATATTGTCTAGAAATGTACTGCTTAAGAAATATTTTAAGATTTAGACATGGTTCTCAAAAAAGTCAGATGATTTAGTTTTTGTTCAAAATGTAACTTATCCTTAGTATTTTTAAATACTTTGAACCTATAAGTTAAACAATGTGTATTCAACAGGTTACTAATAAGCCATAATGGGAAAGTTATATGAGAGGGAAATTTTACATATAAATATTGCAAGTATATTTCTCATACACAAGAAATGTACATTAATGAAAAATAGTTTGTTTACTACAAAAGGTTTGATGCAATATAATGGCAAGTTTCAGGTTGAACAAATATGGGGGTGATGTTTGAATAGTCCTTAAAAGCCTATTGCATGATTTTCTTGGGATTACATGTGAAATAACTCTTCAGTAAGCTATTCATACATATTATAGCTAATTTGATTTTCTTTATTTTCTATCATTTTGTAAAAACCAGGTGGAAAATGGAGGTTGTTGAGAATCTTTTTGATATTTCTTATCTAGACATTTTGAGAATATTTCTCATGTTGGTGGTACAATGTCAATCAACATCATGTAATTTGAGTGTTATTTTTTCATCACATGATTTTAATATGGAAACAGAATGCAATTATACTTCTATATGCAGTTGTCCCTCAGTATATGTGGGTGTTCCAGTACCTACCTTTCTGCCCTACGAATACTACTTTTTGAGTGCTCTAACCCCTTACATAAAATGAAATAGTATTTACATATTATCTATGTACATCCTCCTGTATCTGTTAAATTATCTTTAGTTACAGTCCCTAGTACAATATAAATGCTATATAGTTACAGTGTAGTTTTGTAAGTTTGTATTTTTGTTTACTTTTATGTATTTCAAATGTTTTTGACCCATGCTTGAATCCTTAGCTGTGGAACCAACAGATTCTGAAAGTAGACTGTGCATGTAGGCAGTGTCTCTACTAGGAAAAATAAAAACTTTATGCATGTAAATTAAATTGTGTTGTAAACTTAGAATTTGAAGAAAAAAAGTTGAATTAGTGAATTGCTTAGTTTTAGTCACTTATGTTTGCAATGGGTTTGGCTTAGTAACATTACAGTTGTCTTTCATTTGCTAGATGAGCGACATATTCCTCAGAATCTTCTCAAAATGAGAGAGGGATTTTAGATTAACCTGGATTCAAATGGTAGCACATTTGTTGGCTCAAAGTGTGATACAAGCACCAGTTGTATCATTATCAACGAGAAACTCCTTAGAAATGTTTATTGTTAACTTTACTCCACATCTAAAAGAATTAAAATCTGCATTTCTAACAAGATTCTCAGTAATTCTCATGAACATTCAAATTAAGAAACACATATCTAAAATTTATTTTGTCTTCGCTCTAGGCTATAAACTTCTGGAGGGCAAAAACCTGTCTAGTTCATTGGCATGGTCGCAGTACACAATTTAGTGTCTGGCTTGTAGCTATCAATAAATATTGGTGAAATGAATGAAAGTATATTAATCATTAATCCATCAATGGCTAAGATACTCAGTTCTTTCTGACCTTGTTTTTATTTTTAATTAAGGCAAATAGGATTTGTTCCTTTTAACTTGCCAATTCTCAGCTTGCAGATGTTTTATACTTTACTAATAAATATAAAGGGATCATTTTACTGTTTGTATCGTTTTCACATATCATTGGTGATTTCTCCTGAGTAGTAACTACAGAATATGCCTGCCAAACATGATTTATGAGTTAATGCCAGTTGTTTCCCATCTACTACACGCTGCCTTTTAGTTGTAGTATAATCTGTCAAGAAAGCTCAACAGAAAGAGGAGCAGGATGGTATTTTGTAGCTTTACATTTTGTGTATTCACTATCCAGCTTTGGATGTATAATAAAATGGGGACAGGCACGATGGCTCACACTTGTAATCCTTGGGGAGGCCAAGGCAGCCAGATCACCTGACGTCAGAGGTTCGAGACCAGCCTTGCCAACATGGTGAAACTCCCGTCTCTACTAAAAATATAAGAATTAGGCCGGCATGGTGGCAGGTGCTTGTAAACCCAGCTACTTGGGAGGCTGAGGCAGGAAAATTGCTTGAAACCGACAGACGGAGGTTGCAATGAACTGAGGTGGTGCCACTGCACTCCAGCATAGGCAACAGAGCAAGACTCAGTCTCAAAAAAAAAACAAAACAATAAACAACAGGAGCCTTAAATTCTATGTGTTAGGTGCTTAGGTTTCTTAGCATCAGAGCTTGTCATTTTCCATTTCATGGTCTTTGTAGTGCAGCATCAGAACAATAGTTGGCTTTCAAAGTGAGTCTTAACAGTGAGAGACGGATGCACAAAGGACGTCTTACCACAGTACTGTCTTCTGTTACCACCAACTGCTCAGCATATGTTTAATGCAGTGGGTCAGAAGCACTTCACATTACTTCAAAATTAAATCTGAAGATTGAAGTGTGAGGCCACTTCTTAAATACTTTCTTCCCTTTCCAGACCCAGAAGCATCACAGTTAAGGGAATGTATGTACTGGCAATTAAGATTGTTACTACTTAACTGACTTCCTCCAGAATATATGTTCCTCCCCTGCCCCACTTCCTCCTGGAGTTGACTTTGGGACTTGTGGAATTACTTCCCTCTGGGTAAGAGTTTCATGATGTCTCTGACAAGGTAATAGTACCCAGAGTAACACTGATGTCCAGTGTGCTTTAGAGTTTATATATGTGGATCTGGGAGTTGAAACAGATCTGAGCCTGAGTGCTTGCCCCTTACTGGCTGTGTAATCTTAGATTATTCAAACTTTTGTGCGTGTGCTGCTTTATCTATAACATGAGGATGATGATACACCTCGCAGTTTTAAAATAATTGTTGAAAGTAATTAGCACAGGTTCTGGCAACTTATAAAGCCTCAGTAAATATAATATATTAAATTTAAAGGGGTAATGGTGATAGGTTTTGAAGGGTCCTCTAATAGTAGAAGATAAGTAAGAAGTGAGTAGAGTAATAACAGCAAGCATTTATGACCCAAAACATGAATGTTACTGGGTCTTTACAGATATTCAAAGATGAATGACTTGAGAGCACACATATTAGACTTTAGACTTTCTGGAACAGTAGTTGTTGGGAGAAGTCCTTGGACTCGGAGGCAGTATCCACTGCATTATACAGCACTGCAAATGGATCTTCAGGGCTGAATGTTAGACTTCAGTCTTTGTGCTGTGACTTTAAGTTATATAGTGAGGGAAGCACCAGTCCTTTCACTGGTGTGTTAAGAGACTGGGATCCAACAGCAGTGCAGTGTTTCAGAACCTTGGTTATAGTCCTATTTTGCCTACCTACCATCTAGGATTGGGAGAGTATCAAGACCTGCTTTGGCATGATCAGCTAGTTAAGGTTTAAGTCCTATGGTGGCAGGTCGTGAAGTGGAGGGCCACTGTTAAGATCCACCAGCTTACCATTCATGTAGTTTATATAACCTAGAAGACTGATAACCCAACTTCTTAGCTCGCAACTCTACCAGGATTGATTTCTTTAAAGCCTTCCAAGAGGACAAGCTTTAGAGAAGACATTTTGGAAAAGTTAACCGTTAACCCTTCACATATTAACTTAGCCAGTCCTCATATCAATTCTATATTGTACTCATTTTACTGATGAGTAAACTGAGCCACAGGGCTTGTGTAACATACCCAAAGTCACACAACAACGATGTCCTGGAGATAGATTCAGACCCAAGGATGTTGGTACAAGAGCCCATGGTCTTTAAAACAATAAAACAAACAAAAAACTTAAAAGCTTGCTCTAAGAAATTAAGTAGTAAATGCTGAATGCTAGGTAGACAAAAAGGGATGTTAATTGTTGGCATGTTCACAGAATGGAAAGAAAATATGTGTCTCTACAAGTCAGTTGTTTATGCTGATATTAGTGCCATTGTTTGAATGGTAGATAGGCAAGAAGTTGGCAGATTCAGACTCAGAGATGACCCAGCTAGCGTTTTCTGTAAACAGATGATTAACTTCTCAGAAACACATATTTGAACCTCTGACTCATGGGAGTTGAACCAAAACCTTTCAGCCTTAGTTAGGTCATAATGCTTTTTGAAGTGAACATATTTTTGACAATCCATCTTTATTCTTATGCATGCTTTATATAGTATTAATATTGTGAATACACAGATGTTTGCATTTAGTTTATGGCAAATCTTTCCTAAACTTGTTAGGATGTAAGGAAAGTTTCATTTTTTTGTTGCTGTTGTTGGACTTTAATTTACTGAACACATTGGAAGTTTGTTTTAAATTTTGTTTAAATGTCTTTTGAACCAGAATATTTACAGAAGAAGTTCTTCTAGCCAGCGGATTGTTCCATTTGTTGTGTTTGAGTGCAGAAACATCAGGAATGACAGCATGTGATGATTCCATAGGATTTTTTATAAACGACCTAATAGCATTGTCTAATGTGGTCTTTGTTGATTAAAGGTATCACAGATACCTTTGCTATATTTAGGTAAAATCTAAGTTCCTTTACTCAAGCATGGAAAATACTGATTGTTTTCTGTTGGGGAGGAAAGCAGCATGACTAAAAGAATTATACTAAAGTGGAAACAATTATTAAGAGTCTAAATTTCAAGAAAAAAATTTCAGTTTGGCTTTTCAAGAGTACAGAAATACTAATATTTAATAACTTTCATGCAAATGCTGTGTGTGCATTTCTATCTTTGTCTATGGTCATTAGCTGAAGAATGACTTTTCGAAGTGCAGTTTTAAATGTATCATGTAACTGAACAAATAAATTTTAATTACGGTAACACTATGTAGCTGGGCAATGTGCTTTCCATATATCTATATTATATATTCTAAGAGTGTATATCCTATTAACTGTTAATACATGTAATAAGAAATAAATAATAGCTTTGAAGGAACAAGTAGATATTAATGTCAATATGGACCAAAGTTGTCATAGGCTTGAATGAGCCCAGTATTTGTGATAATACAGAAAAATATCCTTAGAGTTGAGGAATATTTGTGTTGAAGAGCAGAATGGGTGGTTAGGATTTGAATAGGTAGAATATAAGTAGACTATGAAAGGCATTAATGTTAAAGTCACTGTTTTAGATGTACTCTAATAGGATTTATATGCATATACATGTTATATATATATATATATATATATATATATATATGTAATTGCATGTTCTTAATGAGAAAAATGAAGCTCTTCTAGGAATACTAATCTTATAATACTCTTAATGGTTAGGGAATACTTTGCTTTTTTATAAAGATGTATAATATTAAAATGAAATAATTCCTTAGAGTACTTAAATATAGTAGTGACAGCAAGGTAAATATGATGAAGGTCATTCACAAAATGTTTCTTCTCCACTGCTTTAAAAACAGTAGAAAATTAGCAAAATTACTAACAGTAACCAAGCAAATCTGAGAGGCCCCACTTAATGCATACATTTTTAAAGGTAACAGTCAAGAAAGTAAGTGCAGATTGCAATCTGGCTAATAAGTTCTAAACGCTGCACATGGATCTCCCAGACCTTGTAATGAGGGCAAAAGTTGATTCATTAAGATAATTTTTTTATTTTTAACTTATAAGCAGATTGAGGGGCTGAAATGAGGGCCAAGGAGAATCCTTCAAGAGTAGAAAATATGTCAATTTCCTGTGGCATCTCATAGAGGCAGAGAAAACTATCACTGCCTGTTTTTGTTTTAACACTCTAACTCATAGAAAATAACTAGGAAAGGTACAATTCGTATTTAAAAAAAATTATAATGCATATAAGTAGTAGTAAACCTGGATGAAATCTGAGACCTCCTTCTTCTTCCAAATTACACCTTTTCTGTAGAAGAACTCAGTGAGAATCTGAATTCAAGAAGGTTAAAAATTCAAAACACAACATTGTAAGAGATTAACAGTAGTTGAATAGGGAACCAAATTAATATGAGAGCAGCACTATTATAGAACTAACTAGTCTCTTAGAGAAACAATATAACAAGTCAGGTAACTCAGAGGGAAAAGTCAAGATAATTGTACCATATTCCAATAAAAAAATAAATGATAGCTAAAATAGAGTGGGTGTTTAGATGATTAAGGCAGCCAATATGTCGACAGTTTTCAGATATTAAGTAGAAAAATCAAATTCTTCAGACAGCTAGAAGAAAGTTTTTTTTAAGTAATTCTTTTTGACCTAAAGGGCATATTTTCAGGAAAAGCTTAGAAATAACAGTTGGGAATAAAACTTACTGTGCTTGATTTGGAAATTCTCCGTGAAGAATAATTCAGAGAGACTTAGATGCAAAACCCATAAATAAGCAAAACTTAGGATAATCTGACCTCTTACATGTCTACAATATTCACTCCAAATATAATGAAGCATTATCTACAAGCATTGGAGGGAATGAAGGTGAAATCCAAGAGTATCACCACAAGCCACGTTTTCCTCTGGTGATAAGACTAAAAGAAAAAATCTCAAATGTAACAACTGTGAGTACTTGGAAGGGTGGTTGACGGATGGGGGAAAAACTGCCTGACATTGAAATCCAAGAAAATAAATGGCAAATGGCTGAATGACAAATGAAGTATAAGAAGCAGAAGGAAGGCTGGGTGCAGTGGCTCATGCCTGTAATCCCAGCACTTTGGGAGGCTGAGGCCATTGGATCAGGAGGTCAGGAGTTGAAGACCAGCCTGACCAATATGATGAAACCCTGTTTCTACTAAAAATATAAAAAATTATCCAGGTATGATGGTGCAGGCCTCTATTCCTATCTACTCTGGAGACTGAGGCAGGAGAATCACTTGAACAGGGAGGCAGAGGTTGCCATGAGCCAAGATTGTGCCGTTGCATTCCAGCCTGGGCAACACAGTGAGTTTCCATTTCAAGAAAAAGAAAGGGCAGAAGGAAAACAAGTAATATTTTAAAGATAGTGGCACAGTGATTGTAGATCTGTGAGGGAAAGTATAAACCAAATTTTTATTTCTAGATAAACTATTCTTAAAGAAACAAAAACTCAAGGAACCTAAAAATGTTCAGGCTTTAGTTAAAAAAAAAAAAATCCAAAACAAGCAACTACTTGCACATAGTCATCTAATAATACAGTGAATTAAGAAGAAAAATTTAGAATTGGGGAAATTTTGTTAACTCAATTTCCTTGAAGATAATGTCTAAATTACATTCATTATGGCCACAAAATAGAATAAGAATCTAATAAACCTTTTAGATTTGAAACCACGTGATTGACCAGACCTTGGCTATGGGCAGAACTTAAAGTGTGCTATCTCCTCTTACATGCAGAGGAAATCAGTGAATACTGACTTAGAAAGTTGTCATTACGAGGGCAGTGTCTTTATCCTGCCCATAGCATCTTTTCTTAACCTTTAGAAAGTAAACTTCCTGGAAATGAATTATCTGAATTTTAGCAATACTTTTGGTTTTACAACATTTGGTTTTCATTCGCTAATATTATATGACTTAAAATGACATGCATATTATTCCATTTTAATAGAACATTCATACTTATAGTCTTTCCCTTCATTTGTCTTTCCTGCTTACTACATAAATTATTTGTAGAGAACTGTTGAAATGGTACCCAACTTTCAGAGTTACTACCTTTATATAGTTATTTTTTGATGAGTTTTTTAAAGAACTTTCCCACATTGTTCATTTTAAGAACATACACTATTTTCTTGACACAGGACGTTTTTCTTTTAAAAAAACTGGTGGCATCGTTTTTTTTTTGTTGTTGTTGTTTTGTTTGTTTGTTTTTACAATTAAGTATTTGCTAATGATAAAAACATAAATGTTTCTACCCTCAAAGATCTCAAACTCTGTCCTGAAGAAATTTAACACTTTAATACTAAAAAAAAAAAAAAAACAACAGAATATCTCTTAGGTTGTCATTCTCTATATGCAGAAGAAAATTTTAAAGTAAGATTTTTTTTTCTGAATTCAGAATTCACTTGGGCATCTTTGTTGAATTTAAGATCTGATGATACGGTTGCCTTATTTCATATCTGTCAAGTCAGAAATTTGGCAGGATGTAACACTATACCCTACTTTCATACAAATAACTCAACATGACACAGTATCATAGATGTTGGTGGAAGACCTGAGACTACAGGGTCAGAGAAAAAGACGGTTTATTACAACCATAGCACTAGCAAGAACAAAAATGTAGCTCTCGTTTTTTTTCGGAATTCGAATTTCCATGGAGAAATACAAATAGGGTTAGTTGTTGCTAGGCAGTGGGGTTCTTTAAAAAGAAGCTTGATAGTAGAAAACCCTGGCCTTGTATAGGCAAACCAGCCCATCTGCTCCTTAAGAGAGAAGTATTACTCTGAAATGCCATGTAAGCCTAATCCAGGGAGAGAGATGTTCCCATCTTAGTGGAAAATCTGTTCTAGGAGGAAATATCTCTATGCTTGCAATTTGTGCAAACATCCTTGCAAAGAAAGTATGGAACAAGTTAGCTGTGAATGCCTTAGAAAATGTTTGAATACAGGAGAGACTTTTGAAAAAATTCTCCTCCTGTAATATCTAGATGTTACCACTTGATCAAACTTACTATTGCAGAATGGATACTAGTTTCTTTTTGATCGTAATTTTAATGAATTGTTGACAACTATGGCCTTTCGGCTTTTTTTATTAATCTTTGAACCTTTTGCTCAGTAAGAATTTTAAACTGATATAAAATTTTTAAAATTTAATATCTAATTTTTATAGTGACGCTAAGACCTTGAAACCTTTATTTCCCTTATTCTTCAGTATTTTGTCAAAATCATAGCAAATTAAGCTACTAAGTAGATAATGTGCAGAGTTACAGAGTTTGATGTTCGACTGAGGAACAGCATTGTATTATTTTTAGAACTATGAAATGTAAAGCATTCTAAATGTAATACTAGTATGAATCACTGAAATGTGATTTCCTGTGTAATTAATATAGCAAGGGTATCACAGATTCCTTGTCTAGAAATTCTTAAGTTTTTGTTCATATTGTTATAATAGAAAAATCTTGAAACAAGCTAATTAGAATATTAAGTTATATGGAATAAAAATCTTTTTAGGAAAGTTTGTGTAATATGTGTTCTTTTCTAAATCTAATCTGGGACTACTTGTAGTAGTGAACTCACTGACAGTTTTCTAAAGGATAGTCTTTGTAGTTTAAATCTTTTCTCACTTATATTGTTGTAATGATTTCTTACTCCTTTCCCCACTTCTAGTCATTTCAGGTTTAGTGAAGTCTATTCCTTGTATTAAAACTGTTATTTAATATGCCTCTAGGTACCTGCAATTATCCCTGTAACCTTTCTCTTTTAGTCCTTCAACACGTTCTTCAATATTTATTTGTATAAGATAAACCAGACTACTAGCATGTTCTGGAATATAATCTGTGTGTGTCTACATTTTTTTTTCCTATCTGAAACAATTTTCTGTACCCTTGTTAGCTAAAACATGCATTATTCATAGCCTAGTTCAAATGACTTCTTGATAACCTGATGAACTTCAGCTTGTATTACTTTTTTAAAAATATATGATCCTTAGTTTTATGTGTCTCTCCTCTAGCAATTATGTGCTTCTTTGTAACAAAGATGTTTATGTTTGGTCTAATTTGTGAATTCATTTCTGTTTTTTTCCTACTAGCATGTAAAAGTCACATCTGAGGCTCTGTGTCATGCTAGCAGAGATCTTCAGCAAATCATCCTAGATCAGTGCTACAATTTTGTTTGTGTGAATGTAAGTCAATTCAAGTGATTGAAAGCACTCGAGGATATGAGCAAATGTAACGTGGAAGAAAACTAATTTGATTCTTAAATATTTATATATGAGATTTTGATGAGTTATTTTACATGTTTTTAGAGATTTTTATCTTTGAAAGAGAAATAATACTTTTAACAAGCTAAATCCCACAATGAGAACAGTGATATTTTGGACAACATTGTCAGTTTTCTGTTTTGTATCTGATCTAAAGTAGATAATAAGGAAGACACAGGTTGACTCAATTGGTAGATGAAATTTTGACATGCATAACTTTATGGATATCCTTTAAAATTGTTTATGAATTGAAAACTAAGCTTGTTAAGTATTTTGAATGTTATGCAGAATCTCTTCATTTTTTTCCTTGAATTTTAAGTCATTTAAAAATGTCTTCTCATATCACTTTATTTTTCTGATCTTTTAGGTTATGACTTCTGATTTTCAAGAAACCCAGAAGTTACTGAGCATGCTTGAAGAAAGTAATCTTTCCTTTTTATATCCTGTTGTTGTCATTTCAGTAAGTGAAATTAATGCAGATTTTCTCAAATTTATGCTTCCTTCTTTGTAACTAATGTATGTATTTTTAAAAACTTGATCCAATTGAGAGCATTAACTGAAACTCAAAAGAAACTCTTCTTTGTGGATTACTCTGCTTACTCTCTTGCTATGACTTCTATTACTGAATGTCTTTATTATTACAGTCATTTGGTTGAATTAACAGGTTTGGAAGTCTTTTTCAACCCAGCAGTCAATTTCATTTTTTTTTTTTCCTGCACAAAAAATGGCAGGGTATTCAGCTTAAGTCAACTGGTTGTTTGGATAATATAAAATAGTTTTATTTAATATATTATCAGAATATTATTAGGGAAGCATTCCAGTTGTTAATGTGAAGAAAAAAACCTAGTAGAAGAAAACTGGTTCTTGGATTGTTTCATTTTCTGTGTTCCACTGAAAGCAAAAGTAGAACAAGCAGCAAATAAAAAAGAATTCCTAGAAGAATGGCCTATGAAAGTTTTGGAGAGATTTTTCCATGAAAATCTAAAAGTATATGTTTAGTGCAGAATTTATTTCATTAGCCTGTTAAACTATATAGCGGAGGGGACTATCAGAGAGTAAAGTTGGGAAGGAACAGAATTAGAGCCCAAAGCCCTCTAAACTGGCTGAGGAGCAGAATCTATAGTTAGTAGCATTTTGCTGTGTGAAGGGGTTCCAGACATTAAATTCTCTGAAAAGCTTAGTAGCTGCCAAGTTTTTAAAGCTCAGGACCATCCCATAGTCTGGGAATGTAATTCTTTTCAGATAAGGTTAATAATAAGATAATTTGCAATATAAATAACTTGACTGAGTAATGCAGCTAGTAACAAGTTAGCATCTCCAACAAACTGAGAGATATAATTAATTCAGTGGCTTCTTTATTTGGTCATATACCATAAAGGTAACTTTCATAGTTGCATGTGGTTATTGAAACCCAAGGTTCTTATGTAATTGATCTTCATGCAACACAGATGCTTCCGTTGAGCTTTTTAGGAACAATGTGGAATATATCCATTGTTGGAAGCCTCTGAGACTCTGTAGGATAGAGGTAAGTTGAGAGTTTTGTGTTTGGCCTTTTATTCTCTCTCCACATTTACTCGCTTAGAAATCTCATTTTTCCATATTCCCAGTTATGCTGATGAGGCCATCCAGTGTAGTTAATTAAAACTCTATATGCTAAAATATTGTAAAATGTTTATTTTATATTGGGACATTATCCTTTTCTAATACTTGACTGCAGGCATACTTCAGTTTCTTGCACTCTGAAGATACATGTTTTACAAATTGAAGTTTTGTGGCAAGCCTGTGTCTAGCAAGTGTATTGGTACATTTTTCCAAGAGTGGTATGCTCAGTTCATGTGTCTATCACATCTTGGTAATTCTCACAGTATTTTAAAATTTTTCGTCATTACAGTCTCTGCTGTGGTCGTCTATGATCAATGATCTTTGATATTACTATTACTGTGTTCAAGCACTGCAGATCACATCTGTGTAAGATGGCAGGCTTAACTGATAAATGTGTATGTACTGATTGCTCTTCTGATTAGCTGTTTCCTCATCTGTCTCCTTACATTTGACACTCCCTATTCGCTGAAACACAACAATATTGAAATCAGGCCAATTAATAACCCTACAATGACCCCTACATGTTAAAGTGAAAGGAATAGTCCTGTGTCTGTCACTTTCAGTCAAAAGCTACAAAGCCTACAGAGCAAGGCCCTAATTCCCTTCAATTCTGTGATGACTGTGGAAAGTGAAGAAGTTCCAGAAGAGTTTGAAGCTAGCAGAAGTTTATTCACGTGGTTTAAAGAAAGAATTGTCTTTATAACAGAAAAATGGAAGATGAAACAACAGGTGCTGATGTTGAGGCTGTACCACATTATCCAGAAGAGGTAGCTGAGATAATTGATGAAAATAGTAATGCTAAATGACAGATTTTTCAGTATAGATGAGACACTTCTACTGGAAGAACATGCCAGTGTGGGGGCTTTTATGGACAGAGAGGAGAAGTCAATGCCTGGCTTCAAATGATAGACTGACACTTCTTAGGAGCTAATGCAGCTAGTGACTTTAAGTTGAAGGCAGTGCTCACTTACATTCTCAAAATCCTAGGACCCTTAAGAATTGTGCTAAGTCAATTCTCTGTGCTCTGTAAATAGAACAAAACCTGGATCACAGCACATCTGTTTACGGCATGTTTTACTGAATATTTTAAGCCCACTTTTGAGACTTAATGCTCAGAAACAAAGATTCCTTCAAAATACTTTTTGAAAAACTGCTTATTGATAATGTACCTAGTTACCCAAGATCTTTGGAGATGTGTAAGAAGATGAAGGTTGCTTTTTGTCTGCTAACACAACATTTATTCATCAGCTCATAAATCAAGGAGTCATTTAGATTTTCATTTCTCGTTTTTGAAGAAATACCTGGTGTAAGGCTATCATTGTCCTAGATAGATTCCTCTGATGGATCTGTGCAAAGTCAGTTGAAACCCTTCTGGAAAGGATTCACCGTGCTAGTTGCCATTAGGTACATTCATGATTCATGGTGGGGGGGGGGGTCTAATGTTAACAGGAGTTTTGAACTTGATTCCAACCCTCATAGAAGACTTGGAGGCATGTGACTTCACTGGAGGAAGTAACTGCTGATGTGGTAGCAATAGCAAGAGAATAGGAGTGGAGTCTGAAAATAGATTGAATTGTTCTAATCTCATAAAATGTAGATGGATAAGGAGTTGCTTCTTATGGATGAGCAAAGAGAAAGTGGTTTCTTGAGATAGAGTCTAATTTTGGGAAAGATACTGTAAACGTTTAAATGACAATAAAGGATTGAGAATATTACATAAACTTAGTTGATAAAGCAGTGGCAGAGTTTGAGAAGGTTTAGTCCAATTTTGAAAGCAGTTCTGTTGTGGGTCAAATGCTATCAAACAGCATCCCATACTACAGAGAAATTTTTGTGAAAAGAAGGATCACTCTAGGCAGTGAACAATGTTGTCTTATTTTAAGAAATTTCTGTATCCAACCAACCTTTGGCTACCACTACCCTGAACAGTCAGGAGTCATTACACCAGCAAGAAGATTAGGATTCACTGAAGGATTAGATGGTAATTAGGATTTTTAGCAACATACCATTTTAATTTAAGATATGTACATTATTTTTTAGTTATGCTACTGTACACTTAATGAACAATAGTATAATGTAAATATGACTTTTTGTGCCACTGGAAATAAAAAATTTCATGTGACTCACTTTATTGTGAAATTTGCCTTACTAGCTTCAGTAGCCTGCAGCCAGACTCCCAATATTTTTGAGATATGCCTGTTGCTTTCCCATTGCACAGGCAGACTTAGCATGATGATATTTTTATGAGCATTATTAATTTCATAGAAAAATATGTAACTAGTTTATATCTAGAATCTGTATCCATAGGATGGAGCAAATAACTAGAAAGGGTATTGTAAGTAATGCTGGTTTCTTGGATGGAGAAGTAAGTGAATATTGTCTGAGTATTTGAATTGTCCTGTCATTGATTGTGAGTATGACTGATCAGGCTTCATCGTTTTTTCTTCTGATACCACTTTCACCAAAAATGGCCAGAAAGCAATTTCAGTTTTCCTATTAATGAAAATCGGGCAGAACATTTCAAATGCATACCAATTTAATAGATGTATGAAAAATATGATAATTATAAAATAAAAGAAATCTAGATACATCACAGTTTGCTCATTAGTAAGAGGAAAAACTATTAATATACATATATAGTGTTTGCATGTGCAAATTCATGTGCAGACATGTATACACATGTTTGTAATTGGAAAATTACATACCAGGCACTTCAGAGGCTATGGCGTTCTCTTTCATTCTGTCTGAATTAACTTTTCTGGAAAGAAAGATGTCTTACCACAAGCTTTTTATTTTTATTTTTATAAATAAGACTTTTGTTAACTTTATGAAAAGAATTTTCAAAAGGAGTGTGATCACTTGCTTCCCTAAACAAGTAGCTTTTATTCATCAGAAAATATATTACCAAATGACATCAAAGTTAAATAAAAATATGTCCATTTTGATTTTTGAGTTATATGATTCCACAGATATCGCATGCATTTATTGTAAATGCTTAAAGGCCTGTTTTGTCTTGGCTGAGATGTACAGTGGTTTACAGTGGTTCTTTTTCTTATGCAAGGGTTGTCAACTTCCAATTTCAGTCCATCTGAAGAGTGGAAGGCTTAGCAGGAATGAGTCACATGCAAAGTAAAATCATGGTTATTAGCCATTTATGAGGTTTTTCAATAGACTAGTTAAGGTTGTCATTTGCAATGTTACTACGTTTTACTCTACAAGAAAAGATACTTTAAAAAAAAATGAGGCTGAATGTCAACTTAGGTGGGCATTTGGCAAAAACAACATTGGGTTAGGTTTAAGTGGCAGAAATTTGTTTCATGCTACAATACTGATGAAACCTCCAGTGTCCCTTACATTCTCAAGTATATAAAAATACTTTGGAGTTCCCTGTTACCTGTCATTCAGTAGATAACTCTAAAGGGACTTGCAACTTTGAACCTCATCCATGTTATTTCTCTTGGAAGAAGTTAAGGAGTGAATGAATGGTTAACGGTGCTTGGTTCTTGGTATGTTGGTATCTAGCATAATTAGATTTTATTTTAGATTTTGCAGAGGTCTTGACTATATGACTATATGAAGATCAATTTTTTGGCTCTTATGAAAAGTGAAATGGGCTAGAAATTAATGTGGGAAGTTTTTGTTAAGCTAAGATAAACTGGCACAAGTAAGAGTCTACCATTCTAAGATCAACTTTTAGAAGAAAACAACTTTCACCTTGAACAGAAAAAAAAATTGACTTTGTTTTAAAAAGAACTAAGATATTTATTAAAATAGTCATATTCTTAAAAATCCTCTAGGGCATGTTTGCAAAGTTAAGCTTTTTGTATAGTCCTGTGGACATAATATAATCATATGTTG